CCTCCTCCTCCTCCTCCTCCTTATACTGGCATATAAGACGACCCCCGACTTCAACCCCAGATTTTCTTGGGTTAAAAGTTGTCTTATACGCTGGAAAATATGGTAATCCACGCAGACAATATCAACTCCATTAAAATGTGCCAACAAATATAGAAAACAAAACAGTGGTTTGCAGACTGGAAACTGGATGCACACCAAATGGTGTGCATCAAAGAATACCAAAAGAAAATCAGCATGTCCTTTATAGACTATAGCAAAACCTTTGACTGCATAGATTGTGAAAAGCTATGGAACACCCTTTAAGACATAGGAGTGCTGATATATTTGATCGTCCTGATGAGAAATGTGTATTCAAGACAAAAGGCTACTGTCAGAACAGAATATGGAGAAACAGAATGGTTCCCAATTGGCAAGGGAGTCAGACAAGGCTGCATCCTTTCACCCTATCAGTTCAATTTGTACGCAGAAAACATCATTCAAAGAGCAAGTTTAGACTTAGAAGAAGGGGTAAAGATAGAAACATCAACAATCTAAGATATGCAGACAGCACCATACTATTATCAGAAAACATCACAGACTTGGAACAATTACTAAGGAAGGTCAACGAAGAAAGTGCAAAGGTAGTCTTGTTGCTGAATTTAAAGATAATAAAAATAATGACCACAGAGGATCTACATAACTTCAATCTGGACAATGAAGAAATTGAAAAAGTTAAAGATTTACAGTACCTTGGATCAAACATTGATCAGAAAGGATATTGCAGTGAAGAAACCAGAAGAAGACTAGGAATGGGAAGGGCAGTGATGAAAGAATTAGACAAGATGCTAAAGAGTAAAGATATATAACTGAACACTAAAGTTAGAATCATCCAATCTATTATATTCCCCATCACCATGGACAGATATGAGAACTGGACAGTGATGGAAGTAGATAAAAGGAAAATCAACTCATTTGAGAAGTGGTGCTGGACAAGAGTACTGTGAATACTGTGGACAGCCAAGAAGAGAAGCAACTGGGTCCTTGAACAGATCAAGTTGAACTCTCCCTGGAAGCCAAGATGATAAAATTGAGGCTGTTTTACTTTGGCCACATCATGAGAAGGCACAAATAACTGGAAAAGACAATAACTCTAGGAAAGTTAGAAGGCGACAGAAAGAGAGGAAGATTCCCACACTCCAGATGGCTTGGTCACAGCCCAGAATCCACAAGACCTAAGCAGAGCAATGGAGGATAGGGGGGCTGGAGATGTCTCATACCCAGGGTCACTATGAGTCAAGGCTTACAAAGGAAATGCAGAGTATTTTAATTGTGTGGACTAGCCCTCAGACTCTCTCCTTTGTCCGCAGCCCATAAAACATCTATAAAAAGATGGAAGAGGGAAGAGTTTGTGAACTGCTGTCTGTCATTCCAGCGCCTCCCTCTCCAGAAGGAGCATAATTTGCCTCTTTTAGGGCTAGTTTACATGTTTTAAATACTCTGCATTCTAGTTGAATCAAATGTTATCTGGCCACATGCGATTTACAGGAGTTGGAGTTTTTTTGCAGCCCTTCCCCTGAAAACTTCCTTAGATGCCATGGAAAAAAAAGTCTTCACTGTTTTTACTCTGGTATCCACTCATATCTGAAGAAATGTGCATTATCACATTTGTGTCTGTCTGTCCACTGCATGCATTCGGATAGCTGCACATTTTTGGCAGAGGAAGGGTGAACAGATACAAATAGATACAAATTTGTATAGGAAAGTGAATATAATTAACCATCAATGTGAATGCACAAAAATATGAACCAATCTGCCTAATATGTGTAGACTAGCCACTAGAAGCTACCAGAAAGCAGCAATTCACCTTTGAATTTTTTTTTGGGGGGGGGTGGCAGGACCTGCACTGTTCAACATAAAAAAACAGCTATGTTTCAAAACCAGAAGAGGACTTGCAACTCTTATGATGTTTTGTTTGGGGGCATTTTTGACAGGCTCTAGTCCCATCACAGCTATGTAGCAATTTTTATATTATCTGTTGTGGAAATTAACTGAGGATAATGCACAATGTGTTAAAAACAGTGAATAGGAGTCAAAATTTTCAGTGTTACCTAGTGGCTGGAAGGAATAAAACCCTTTAAGAACAAAGCTTTATTTTCAAGTGGCAGGAGAAACTCGTTTTCATATTTCTCCAGTTGTAGAATCATGCTGCTGTATTGCTACTTTGTTCATTCTTTTTATTAAAATGGCCAGTTTTGCCTTCACTTTACCAATAGACCTCTCAAGCAGGGTGGAAAATAAATGTGAACTGCTAATTCAAATATATACTATCTTGGTGCAAGATGAACAGATGCCTCAAGATGCCACTTCTGATCTTTCTTGATGGGCAATAGGAAATGGATGTTTGAATCAACAGCAGCTGTCATTCAGCATTAGAGATTGCTAGTGTGCCAGAAGGGAAGATGGAAGAGGGAAGAGTTTGTGAACTGCTGTTTTTTAGTTTTTTGTAAAAATATTGCATATACACAGACATAAAATAACAGCAATAACAACAATTGCTTTTTAAGACAGACCCATTATCCCTTCTGTTACATTGTCACAAGCCTTGTTCTTATTTATTGTCTTTCAATGAACTTATAACTCATGTACATTATTTTCATCCACGCTTGAGCAGCACGATAAATCAAACTCTCTCCTTTGTCCGCAGCCCATAAAACATCTATAAAACGGTATGAAAAAGCTGGCAGATGGCACACACTCATACAACTGCAATGGAAGATAAAGACTATGCTGTTTACTTTATAGCATGGGAGGATGTTTATGGACTTATTGTCTCCATGGAAATGATGGTTTATAATAATGGTAAGATAGATAACATAGGGGGAGGAGGAAGAGGAGATGCTATCTTTGATTTTCCAAACAAGGAGTTAATAGTTTTTGATCCAAAATACTCTGCAACTAATACATGTTTGGTACAGAAAATATACTGTATAATATAATATATATATATAAACATGGACCCTAACATAACTTGCTTATTATGAAGAACAGCCTATCTATTTGTTCTGCTTTGAGCATCAAGTCAGGGTGGTCAGGGTCTAACCAAATGCCTTTTGTTCCCACAACGGCCAATTGGGTGCCTATGGGAAGTCCATCATGAATGCAATAGCACCCTTCCACTCATGTTTCCCAGCAACTAGCAGAGGGACACTGTTTCTAACACTGATGATAATAGAAAGTCAACATGACTAGCAGCCATTGGTAAACTTATTTTCCATTAATCCAATCCCCCTTTAAAGCCACCCAATTTGCTGTTAGTGCATCTTTCTGTAGCAAATTCCATTTTAGCTATGCACTGAGAGAAGGACAGTCCTAACCACTCAGTTTCATTGGGTGATGAAGGGACTCTAGTGTTGTAGGAACCGTTTTTTTCTCCTTATCCACTTTCTTTACATAGGGGTAGGAATTGTGTAGCTCAGTGATTCCAACACTTTGGTTCTTTTTGGACCTCAACTCCCAGAAGCCCTAGGCAGCTTGGCCAGCAGTCAGGAATTCTGGAGCTGAAATCCAAAAATATCTAGAGGACCAAAGTTTGGGAACCACTGGTGCACCTCTCTACATTCTTCACCATTGGCTATGCTTATTAGGGATGCTGGGAATTGCACTCCAACAACATCTGGAGGGCAGTGCAATTCCCACCCACATTCTTCACTCTGCAAAATTTTATACTG